GTTGTTGTTGTTGTTGTTGTTGTTGTTGTTGTTGTTGTTGTTGTTGTAAGCATTATTGAGTATTCATGCCCTACAGGTCAAAGGTCAAAGGATGTCAAAGGCCTTATTTTACTGGAGTTGGCGATATAAACACTCCTCAGTCTGAGGTCTTCAGGACCAGGTTGGGACTTGGGTCCAAAGGCACCTGTCCTGGGGAAGCTTTCCAAGCCAAAGAGGATCAGAAAGAATCCGCCCAGCGCTGCCAGCGCTTCCGACAGCGTCCGTTTGCCTCCGCCAGGTTTCGCCGGAGTCGTCGACTCCGCCGGAGGAGTCCGCTGTGGAGGAGTCGCCCGAAAGAAGCCATCGGCTTGGGGAAAACAAGATACGTTGGGGGAAAAGAACCACAAAAGCCGCTATAGTCATAAGATGTCAGAAGTCATAGTAGCTTTACCAAAGATGACCAGGGTGCGCCTTGCCTTCGTGGGGTATCATGATTCTGGAGGAAGTTTGACACAGTGGAAGGTGGCTAGGATTCCGTCGGAAGGCTTTTCCGTGGGAGCAATCCGTGAACGTCCGTGACCTCTCCAGGCGTTGTTGGCGAGCCTGGCAGCGGACTCTCGGCCGCTGGAACGAGAGGGGCAAGACACGCAGGCAGGACGCGGTCCCAGTGCGTGGGAAGTCCAGTCCATCCCTCGTGCCATGATGAAATCCTGGGGGTTTGAGGTCAAGTCCTGCAAGTGAACCCTTACGTGGCGGTAGCAAGGGGGTATATATCACGTAAGGCTATGGAAGGCTGAAAACGTTTGTTGCTACTGCTTTCACCACCTGTCGCCTCGTATATTACTGATACTGTTTTTGCTAGCACTGGAACTGTCAAGGGTGATAATCTTTGACACAGCACGGAACTCCATTTGGCTGTGAGTGAAACCGGGGGACCAACCGGCAGACTTAACGTGTTTAGGAGATCCCACATGGTAGAGAGACCCACCAAGCTCTCACTCGCCAAGATTTGATGCCCTGAAGTTCTAGGACTTGCAGTTACGAGCTGTGTGTGTTTTTTGTTTTCCCCCACCAGTGCCATGCACCCCTGTATATTTCATATACATCACACAGAGGTGGTGGGAGCTGGCTGTTGTTTTCGGGGGCTGGTGGTTGAGAGATGTTGGGAGTGGGACCTGCACAGATCGGGTGAGATTCCAAAGGCTCGAACACAGACATAGAAGCCTTGAGAGGTTCCTATTATACAGTGCATGTAGTGGGAACTGTAATGGGGGCTGGTTGGTGTAAGATATATGGTCCCCGAAGGCCCCGAAGGCACCAAAACCTGTTGTAGAGTCAGTTCCTGGTCAGGATCCCAGTTGAAGTACTCAGGCAAACCATTGCCAACCCAAAACTCAGAACTCCTGCAACATCTTCACTCACTGAAAATTTCAGCCGGGTCATGCAGCTGTGACGCAGGATTCCACCGCCACGGCTGCCTCCACACCAAGCGGCAGCTGCGGATTTGCAGAGGCGGCAGGCAGAGACTGGTCTGGAGGAGGTCGTGTAAACGGAGGTCGTTGGTGTTGAACGAACTTCCCCACATGGACTTCCCCCTGTGAGACATGCCCGATTGATCATACTTGTGCGTATTCTGTGTGTTTTGTCATGTGTTCTTTATGTTTTTTCAAGTTCTTGAACCTAAATGTCCCCACAAGATTGACAATATTCACAGTTCAGTTGGCGGGGTGGTAGCTCAACATCATCCCCCACAGAGCGGCAATGAAGACTCAATCTTGGACGTATACATCATAGACTCATCATATATCATCATATTATATATATATAGACATGATTAGACATGTACTGACTGACATGTAAAACATCAATGTTTAGACCACTTTACCATACTTCTGCCGGTTGACACCGTGACACCAAAAGACCCCAGGCGAGGCCATGCCCACGCCGTTGGAACTCCGGAAGCTGCGGGAGGCGAAGCAGCGGTGAGAAGTGTCCACTAAAGGAGAGACACCGACTGAGTCGACGGCTTAGGTGACTTAGGGATACTCACAGACCCTAGGTTTTTAGGAGTCAATTCACTCAACTGTACTCACAGTCCACGGATTTTTGGTTTGACATAGGATTTTAAAAATCACGGGTCATGAGATTTCACGGGTCGCCTTGTTGGGTGCCGCACGGGTCAGGATTTGTGGCATCCACGGGTCGGGATTTATTGGATGCGTCCTTTACCACACCGGTGGATGCTTTGAACCACTGCCAGATGAATATTGACAAGGGCATGATTGACTGGGAGACAATGTACCAAGAAGCATCATGTATAAAGAATTATACAGAACCACAAGAACCACAAGTACAAGCATCACTATCATTGAATCCTCCAAACAATATTGAGAACATATATTAGGTTGGAGGCCATCACAATTAGGTTGGATGCCATCACTAGGCCATCGCTCTCAGGTTTCTTTTGCTATTCGGCTGGGAGTTTAATTGTTTCAGATTGCTTGCAGTCCTTATTGACCACCGGCCTGAGCATGTTCTTTGCCTGAGGCATCCAAGGTCAAATCCGAGGCCTCTCCCACTGCGAGCACAGGACAGTTGGTGTGAACCGAACGCATTCAGTATGCATGGGATCCTCAATCATCGCTTTTCCGCTTTTCCAACTGGTGATCCAAATCCAGGAACCTGAAAGGGGGAAGTGGAAGGAGAAAGGCATAAAAGACATGCCTGCAAGGAACATCCATGGCTTCTGCATGCTTGGGGCTGCTCTTGACTTACACTGGTGGTCGGGTTCTGGTTTGGTTCGCTGAAAGTGCAGATCTCGATTTTGTGAATCCTGACGGCCTGATGCAGTGTGTTCTTTCTTTTTTTGGTTCGTCGCTTTTCACCAGGAGTTCAGGGTGGCTATGGCAGCCATGTTTCATGCCACGTGGGAGTGCATGTTTGCAGTGACTAACAGAACAGGTAGGTAAGTCGAAGTTTGCGCAAGCCTGCAACAACCGCAGGGATGATCCCTAACCAACATCCTAATATAGAACATGTCGCCATCCGAAGCTTCATGTCGGCAGCTGAAAACAATCGAAGGTATATATATATATATATAGCGGTTATTCTCCTAGCCGTCCTAGCCTGTAAGTGACTAACCTTCAATCGTCTCAAAACCTTGTTTAGGATTAGTTTCCCCACTCAACATGAACCGGGTTCAAAGATGTAGTGTTGACTCTTGATTAGTAATAACTCCCCTAACAATTGAGACTCAGGGGTGAAGAAGTCTCAGTCGGTGATTTGTTTCAACTGAGCTCCTCTTCGATCACGCAGGAGCGCCATTCCTTTCGGCGCCGTCTGGAGACATGTGGACGGAGCCGAACTGGGGTCGGGACAGCTGGGACACAAGCGGTTTACCCCCCAACTGCTTGGTCTGTCTACACGTGCGGACCAAGCAAGAATTTTATTCATTTGGGATGGGTGGGGGCTAAACATTGTGGCGAGTGCTTGATTCACTATTCAGTTTGGGTGTGGGTCTCTTAGACAGGGTCCATGAAAGTATCCCCTCAACCGCGGAGAGTGATGATGATCCACCTAGGGTTTCGCCACACCCCAGGAACTCACGCACATGTCGTCTCAATATGTTGATTTTTTCAGAACGTTTTAGTAAGACCTTCCAACAGATGCTGTTCGTCAGGAATCTGTTGAAATCTGCCAATCTTCCGCATGCGCCAAACTTGGTTTCATCCATGAAAGATCACGGCCAAACCAAACTGGTCAGTCAGATCGCATCCACCCGAGCGATCGCTGAGGCTCGCCGCCACCGAGCGGCTCCGCGACCGCTTGAAGAAGCGACCCGCATCAAGAGCGGAGTTGGTTCCAGGTCTTCTCCATCTTGGAAAGGGCTATCGCGGTGATTGGAGAAGGGATACAAAGTGAGTTCAAAACAAATCCTTCAAAGACCCACTTTATGATCTACCACCCCTGAAAGTTGGTGAGTGTATTCATGTTTCTTCTGTTACTGAGTTCAGTGGGTGTTGGTTCGCTGCTGTGGGTGGTTCTTCTCCAGAACAAGGCCATTTCAGGGGTTGTCACCCGAAGTCATTACACTGGAGTTGACAATGGCCCGTTTTGCTCTATAAACAGGGTTCTTCCATTAAAATGTGAAGCATTGGACTGCAGCTCCAAGCGACGTAATTAGTATCCGTCTCAACCAGAACGGTCACCACATACTTCTACCCAGCGCTTGCCTCAAAAGCGGAAACGCGAATGCTTGGTGGTTCGTTTTCCCTACCAACTGATTGGAGGCTCCTACAGTCCACTTCGAGAATCACCGATTTGATTTTCTTCCCAACTTCTTTGTTCAGTCCCAAGGCGGGAATCTGGCAAAGGCGAGTTCAGGACCGTCCCTGGAGAACCGGCCCGGGGCACGAGGTCATTCTATATTATATATTGTTATATTATATACAGATTGTATTATATAAACATGTATTGATAATAAATATATATATATATACACATACCTGTATGTATGATGTATATGGCTCATGTTGGTTTGGTATAGGGTGGCTGCAACTTTAGTAGGATACCACACCTGGTTTGATCCTTGAAGCAAATCATGATTGAATGGGATACCTTCAGATGGATGTTTCAGATGATGTGAATTCATGTGTTTGTTCCGGACGCTTCACGCCACATTTGAGCCCCATTGAGCCCAGGACCCCTCGTCCTCCAGCAGAAGCTGGAACATCGCAGATCAACTGGAAGGAGCTGAATTTGAGGCGTCGCAGGTGTGAAGACCTTCAAGTCAGAAAAAGTTGGAGAACTGCCAAGAACAGAGGCGAACCAACAGCGGAGCTATATGAGCTATCAAAAAGAGCCGAGGCATGTCGTACAGAGATAGAGCTATCTCAGCTCTATGCAGTTCAATGTCTCAGAGATGAGAAAGCTGCAAACTTGCCATCGATTCTGGAGTCAACCAAATTTAAGTCTTAGAGTTGCTTTAGCAACACGACACCGCCGGAAAGACATTGTTGTAGAAGGAAACCGTTATTAATGTTGAGGACGATGCTGGGAGTTGGTTATTTATAGATGTTTATAGCATACGTGACGTGATCATAGCATAGTTGTTGATGATTGCAAGGTCCTGCAAGTATGAGGAACACATAAAGGTATGTGGAGATAGGAGGTTCACTTTAGCCAAGAATGATCGCTTGAACTCAATTAATTTGCCATAAGATGGCAACGGTGGGTAGGAGCGCATCGAGATCAGACACAAAGAGGCTGAGGACATCTCGCGGTTGTTGTTCTGCGTCCGGATGATGCTGCATAAAAACCTACCCAATATCTACCGATTATCTACCTGTAGTTGAGGCCAAGCAGTTTTGACTTTGAGTGTTTGACTTCTGAAGAAAGTTCTTTTTTGCCGCCTGGGGCCTGGGCACTGCTTCCAAGGTCCTTGCGAGTCCTTGATGGCAGAATTTGCGGAATTTAGCCAAGTCTGTAAATACTGCATAATATAGTAATGTAGAAAGCTGCTCGTGCTATAACTCCTGTGTTATGATCAAGGCTGTCCATTATCTCCCGCTCTTTGTTTCCCTGTCAACAGGCTTGCCCTGTTGATATTAACATGCCGGAATTTTGGAGCTTTGCAACGCACCCCAACTGCTACTGCAATATGTATCATTTTGTGTGGAACCTAACACTTCCGTGCAGTCTTTGAAGCGAGCAAAAACCAGAGATTCACCATGTCCAGGTTGGCCTATGATCCAGCTTAAGCCACATAAGGCAAAGAGGTCTGGACTTCCTGTCGATCAACAGGAGCAGCAAGTGCAAGCCGAAGAAGAAAAGCAGCGGACGGCCGAAAGGAGGGATGCAGAGGTCGCTTCAGAGTCCTTGGGAAGCAGGTCCTGCAATGTCCTTGGGTCTTCGTGTAGAGACCATCCAATCATGTTTGATGGTGCAGTGCACAGCTCTGAGATAACTTTTGCATTGTCATTGGCATTGGTCTTTGTTTCACAATGATTCACATTTGGATGTGTGTCTTATATAAGCTAGCTGCTAGCCACCCGACTAAAGCACCACACTGCAGTACAGATACAGGAGACACGCTCCTGGCTGGGAGGTCCTTTGTTAAGACACACCGATTTGGTCTTTAAATTTGGGAAATTGCCTTTCCAGCGTCAAGATTGCCAACACATTCCAGGAGCACAAGGAGAACTGATGCTCTCCGCCGTGTTCAAGAGCGCTTCTTTGAAGCAGTTCATGGACTGAAATCAGTTAAAACTACATGCTCTCACCCTGGTCATTAGAAAGTAAACATGACCACTTGCTGGAGCTCCTTTTTGACAGATGTTATGAACCTAGGTTGGAGGCCTTGGAGGCCACCACTGTTAGGTTGGAGGCCATCGCTATTAAGTCGTCGATGTAGTTTGGACAATCTGCCTGTTCGACCCTGAGACCGTTGCCTGGTTGTTCCAAGTCCCTGTTGTTCCAAAGCCTTGAGAACGGACGAAATCAAGGACGCGAGCAACGGCATCAAGAAGCAAGTGGTCTTGAGGTGAGGGCCATGTTCTGTGGAATGGAAGTTCATGCTAAAGAGAGCCACAGAGATGATGAGTTCCTTTGTCGATGTGAGCCACGGCTCGCACACGGCGAGCTCGCTGGCTCGATCTCAACCACATGCCTCCCAATATGGAGGCCTTTAAATGTTCATCCATACAATAGGTAGAACTCCATGCAACGTGTATCTACTTGTACACAAATAAGGGAGAAACATATATAGGTTTAAAGGTCAATGAAACATGAACAGGTACACAAGTGAATTAAAGCGACGGATCTATTCTTGTACCAACCTGTAGAGTCAGGTGCTGGTCTTTCGAAGCATGTTTCTTCAAGAATGTTCTAAACACACATATTCACGTGTCTTGCATACTGCATACAAGATGCCGCATGCATATTCGTTAGACACTGGAAGCAGTTGGAATGCACTGGCATGGATTTGTGTGAAAACTTCAAAAACGCAGACACTTGGTGTGCTTACATGGCAACAGTGGCGGGTCGAAACAAATCAAAGCTTTCGTCTCATTCCACATCCCTATGCTGATGCCTATACACCTGAAGGAGTAGTCAATTTGCTTTGTTTCTAGGGCTCAACTCCGGGGTCCCCATGTCGGTTGACCCTTTTCCTGTTTGCCTTCACTGCGCTTCGCAGGAAGGCTCACCGATCCAAGCCATCCCGTCCCTCACTCAGGAATTGGTAGAGGGAAAGTGCAAGCAATCTCTTCAATAAGAAATGCCCTTGTTCGAGCTGAATAACCAGATGGCTTGAGCTCATGAAGCCTTGAGCATGGACCCGGAACGCAGCCATTGTAGATCAAACATATCTTGCGCTGTGTGTTAGGGCTGCTGCCGCTCGATTTGCACAACATTCCGCATCAGTATCAGCTTGGTAATCGATGCCACTGAACTAACTTCCTAGGAGCCTCAGCTGGAAGATGTGTCAATCTTGAAGAAGAACTTTGGAGGTACTTAATGTGTTGCAACATGACCTTGGGATATGGAACCCTCCCAGGGAAATCCGAGAATGATCGATTATGTATGTGTCCTCCATTGAATGAGCCTCCTCAATTTGGCAGCTTTAGGATGCCACGTGACATGACATTGAGTTTTCAGGGTTTCCGACGAACACATGAACGAGTGCTGTGCCGTAGCTGGTCCCGGTACCGTGGTTTCAAAAGCTGGTGGATTCCTCAAGATGGTTCTTGAGATGAGTCGCAGGTTTGTCTAAGGCAGTGAGGATTCCTTGCTCAGCGATGCTGCGCATTGCTGTGCAGATTTTGGGACATAACATGGCAAGCAGAAGATGTTTCAGCATGAAAAAGTCGGCAGCAAGGTTTCACTTGGAAGCATTCTCTAGAGATTGGATGAACTGAAGACCAATCCCACTTGGTATCCCCTGGGTTGTGTGAGCATTTGGTTGAAACGCAGCTATGGGCAATGGGCTTTTGGAGAGCTCCTTTCACTGGATGGATCCTTCCTCAGCTCCTCTTCTTCAGGTAGTCCAATCCACCGACCGCACAATCGAAACACATCAAACCTTATAGTGGTCCCCACATAGATAGAAACGGTTTTGACTACATGTTCAGTGAACATCTACTTTTCTATGTATTTGAAGGTCTATATACACACACCGGATATGCTCGAATCATCCATTCTTTGTGAACAGACAACCCGCTCGCGCAGACAGACAACCCGCTCGCGCCCGCAGCTGCGAGGCGTGGTCCAATGCGCAGCCTGCTTTGGTCAGGTCTGTTTGTGGGGCCGTCCGTGTGCAAATGGCTGCTCGTCTCTTTTGACATGGGGCACTTGGATTGAAGTCCCGGAGACCCCCGACTGCACCGGAGATCGGTGAGAACAGTGCCAACGGTGACGTTTGCGTCCGCAGTTGGGTGGGAGGACGTTTCAACATGTTTCAACGGGCTGTTCGGGAAGAGGTTTCCAGTAAAAGTCCTTTAGACCATGGGAGGGGGTGGTGCATGGGGGGATGGTGGCCGCCTGAACGGCGGCCTCGTGGATGCTGACGAAGGGAAACCAGAAGCAGTGACTCAATCCGGACCAAAAGATGCTCAATGTGATCATAAGCAAACTTGTTGACGTGGTGATGCCTTACCTTGATCGTCTGCAAAATCCACCTCATAATCAGGGTGTTTGTGGCGATCGGGAAACGAACCAACGGAACAGCCAACGGGACCTGGGGCGACTCCGGGGACCCCACGCCCACTGACCTGGACCCGAATGACAGATGCTTTTTGGAGGGGAGTCTTGCTGACCTTATCCATGCTGCTAGTAGATTGGTGGCGGTTTTCCACCTAGGCGTCCTGAACAAGAACTCAAAGGTGGGCCAGGACACCCCAACGGATGGTGATTGGATGGTAGAGACATGGTCTACAACAAAACCACCCAAAGTGGGTGTTGCTGAAGACTGCTCCATCCTTTGTCATCTGTCTCATGCAAACCGTACCTTGGAGCTGAGGTTAGAACCCGAGGGCGTGGGTTGGCAACAGTTGGAGGGCCTTCCACCCTGGCAGCCTCACACGGGCAGTTCCTGCCTTAGAGAGCCACGCTTTCTCCGGCCGTTCCACACGGAGCACGGCCGTGCCGGTGCCGGTGCCGGTGCCGGTAGGTGGTGGAAAGAAACCGCTGTTGGGTTGGATGTACCTGATCAAGGAAAGTCTTTAGAACCAATGAGAGTAGAACGCTGGAATTGCTGACATGACCTATATTGCCCAGGTTTTTGGTGGTTGGGGGCCTGGTGATCCCACAAGCCCATCGACATGTCTAATCTTCACCAACTCCGGAGGCCCATCGACCACCATCTTTCTCGGTGTTTTAGGGGCCCAAAGACTCCTTTACAGAGAGAATCAGCCACCACGGAGAAGATCTCCAAGGAGTGGAATGATATGGATTTCTTTGACGTGGAAGATTCCAAGATGGGTAGCCCCCCTCTTCCACATCAAAAGAACTATATGGATCAACACCATCGGATCATCGACGAAGTCGGTGATGAAGTGGGCCTGTTGGGAGCTGCCTAGCAGAACTCCACTGAGGCATTGCTGCTCCACTCTCAGATGGAAGCATGCTGCTGAAGCCTGGCTTTCCTAGAAGTTTAATGCCAGTCGTGTTCTGTGGTACAATGTGGTACACAAAATGCCAACATCCTTGCTCATTCGAATCCGTGGGTCACTTTGTAAAGACTTCTTTGGTTTATCCAGCTTGCAAGCAATGAGCTGAAACAATTCTTGGTGTCATGTGTTTGGTGGGTTTCCCGGAGCAGGATCAAACACTATGGTCCTTGGTCAAGGGAATGCACCCTTCACATGCGGCTGGATGATTTGGACGGAGATTCTTGGTTTTGGCCATACCAGCAGGGTGCCATAAGTAAGTGGATAGTCTTTTTCCATTTTTTCCACTTGATCTGAGGATCGGAGGTCAAGCCGGAAGGCACGCTTCTGCCCGCGGGTTGTAGAGGATGTCCCTCGTTTTTGTTGACCTGTTTGGACAAGTCGAACAAATTAGAACATGCATGTTGAGTATACATTTTTTCTGCCTATGAGAGAGGTCGATTTATTTGTGCATTGTTTCGTTGTTCATGTTGTTTCTATTTTGTCTCACATGTCTATGGCTTTTGGCTTCTGTGACTTGTGTGGCATTTGGCTTTTGTGGCTTTGGTTTCGGTTCCCTTTGGCTTCTTTGACTTGTGTTTAAAACTCCAGAAACAGCTGTGGCTATATATTATACCATTGTATACCCAACAAAACCAGTGCATATGCTATCTGACCTAGCAACAAGAACAAGGAGGAACCCGAGAGACATTTGTGCACTTGCACATCTACACAAATGTCCTAACTCCAGAAGGACCTACTTTGACTTGTTTGGAATTTGTGGCTTTTGGCTTGTGTGGCTTTGGGCATTTTGATGGCTAGGTTTTGACAG